GGCTAATTAAGGCCTTATTTTTGGATTGATGAATTCAATGCCTTTTAAGACTTTTTAAGGATCCGTGGGAACCCTGATATAAAAGTAGTGTTAATTAAATAATATCAAAAAAATAACACATTATGCCTCTTATTTACCACAAATACTATTTTAACATCTCTGACTTGCCAAATTTTTAAACCAATTTTATTTTCACTTTCATAGTTTTATATTCAACTGCTTGTAGTTTTAACTGTCTTGATTGTGTATTTTACCAGCTTGTAGCCAAGATTCTGACATTTCTGTAGATACCAAACATGTTAAAATCAGGCTTCAAAATGTAATAAACTCACGTTAAAACTGCATTTTGTAATAACTGACACAAAATGTAATAAAAGTCTTCAACACATTATGTAATAACGTTATTACATTTTGTGACAATTGTTACAAAATGTGTTTGTGTAATAATCTGGTGCATTATGTAATAAACAATCAAAAACCAGTATTTCTGTTCATCCTAATCCATATACTTGTAATAACTGTCATGTTACAAATACTACATAATTAAATCTTTATAAGTTTGGTCAATAAACACAGAACTTCTCATCTTTTATTTGCATTTTCAGATTTACTGTCCTGATCTGTTACAGAAATTATTCCACTTTGTAGACAACTCTCAAAATATATCTATAAGTTAGTTACATGTCAACCCCTTCAGATGTTTACCTGTATAATGAGCCTTAAAAATCTGTAATTTTCATTAAAAAAATCTGTATTAATCACACACGGGGGGTTGGGGGGGTGCAGGCGGACTGATGGCTTCTGTATCAGAAGGAAATGAGGGCTGAAGAACTTGTTTCTAACAACAGAGTGGGTTGGAAGTGGACATTTGATGTTAATAATTGTTTTTAACGTCCCACAGGCTCTGACATGTTGAATAAATTAGAAACTATAAAACATGAAAACTATCTGTGAGATTGCTCTATACATCCATAAACACAAGAATTTAACTGAAAATACAAATAAAAGATGAGAAGTTCTGTGTTTATTGACCAAACCTATAAAGATTTAATTATGTAGTATTTGCAACATGACAGTTATTACAAGTATATTGATTAGGATGAACAGAAATACTGGTTTTTTGATTGTTTATTACATAATGCACCAGATTATTACACAAACACACTTTGTAACAATTGCCACAAAATGTAATAATGTTATTACATAATGTGTTAAAGACTTTTATTACATTTTGAAGCCTGATTTTATTACATTATTACATAATGTGTTGTTATTACAAAATGAGGTCTTACACATGTCTATGTTTAACTAAAACAACTCACAGTAATTAAAACAGAAAACGGGGTTTGGCCTTAAGAGATAAATGAACCAATTGGCAGGCCGAACTTTGATCACTCACAGGCTGGGTGTGGCCCGCGGGCCGTCAGTTGAATAGCCCTGCTGTGATGATTACTTTAATCAGGGTTCCCACACCTTAGTCAACATCAAATTCAAGGACCTTTCAAGGACTTTCCAGTTCCATTTTCCTTAAATTAAAAAGCCACGCGCAACGGCAACTACCTGCTGCTACCACAGAGTTCCCAACAAACAGGTTTAATATCATCTAAGTTCAGTGAAAAACTCAACAACATAGAAGTTGTTGAGTCAGAATCAATGAATCAGTTTACTGTAATCCTGACTTATCCACATTGTTGTGCACATCGTTATCCAACGCACGATTTTTAATTTTTATTTCATGATTTACGTTTTTAAAAGACGATGAAAATCAGTCGTGTGAGCAGAGAACTTCAATCCCCAAAAAACATTCAAGGACTTTCAAGGACAAGTGTAATTTTTGGCTGTTATCACAAACTGTCCAGGTCCTTGAATTTTTTTATTCAAATTCGCAAACTTTCAAGGATTTCCAGGACCCGTGGGAACTGTGTGTAATGGATCAGAATAACACTGTGAGTCAGTGGCTCAGCTGGTCCAGGATGCAGCTGTAAACAAAGACATGTGACACTGCTCAGTTCTCCTGTTCAGACTTCAGCTCTGTTCTTCTTCACAGATCATCTGAAACATCATGGACCACCACCTCACATGTGCAACAAACTGCCTGATCCTGAGTCTGATCTGACCACGTTAAATACAAATTAAAGACTTTTTATTCACTAATGCTCTCTTAAAGTGTTTATATTGTATGTGTGGTATGTGTTATTGTTTTATTCTGTAAAAGCACCTTGTGTTGCGTTCTGCTGTAAAATGAGCAGCCTTTTGCACATAATGTGAGCCGTCACATCGAAATGAGGATTAAGTCTTAAAGTTGTATAAAGGTAAATATAGTGTTTTGACTAAAATATTAATAAAAATTGCATTTAGTCAAAATATAATGAATAAAAGCCTTATTAATGTATCATTTGAATGAACTGTCTGAAATATAATCATAAAACTAAATTTTGAAGCCTTTCTTTGAGCAGTAGCAACAAAAAAACTGATTTTGAGGAAAAACACCTTAAAATGTTGAGATTTTCTCTGTGAGTTAGTAAAGTTTGTTTCTTTTTATCTGGGAAATCTCAATATTCAAATATAATCTGAGGTTTCCTCTTTATAAGGACATCAAAAACTCCTCATTAAAATGAGATAAAATCAGGATTCAGACCAAATATTTATGTATTATTGTAACCAACAAGACAAATTAAGTCGGTAACAGTTTATTTGAAGGGGTGTGCATGAGACTGTCATAAATATGACATAATGTCTGTCATGAACTCAAATGAGCCCTCATGAATGTTTATGACTGTTGTCATTAAGTGTCATTCTGTAAATTATGACACTTTTAAAGTTGACATTGTTTAAAATGTCTTTATGACAACTTGACATTAACCAAGACAAAAAAAGTCTTGAGAAGTTAGAGTATTTATAAGCATTTGCCAGTGTAATGACACTTAATGACATCTTTATAACTAGTCTAACATCACAACACTTTACTGGAGGTAAGTGAAAATATTAATGACATATATTAATCTCATGACAGCCAAAGTTAAGACTAACAACAAATGACTGTAATAAAATGTTAAAGTTGATACTTAACAGCTTTTATAACAGGTTATGATTTCTTGGTTAATGTCAAGTTGTCATAAAAACATTTTAAACAATTTCAACTCTGCATTAAGTGTCATAATTTACAGAATGACACTTAATGACAACAGTTATAAAGATTTATGAGGACTCATTTAAGTTCATGACAAATATTATGTCATATTTATGACAGTCTTATGCACACCCCTTCAAATAAACTGTTACCATTAAGTCATATATTTATATATATTTAATTATGATATCAGRATGATCCAGGTATCAAAATGTAGCTTTTAAAGACAAGAATCTGAAAATGTCATTAGGTCATTTTGACCAAATTTGACTTAATCCTCATTTTGATATGATGGCTCACAGATACATACTGGAATTCTAACAATTAGATAAAATATTTAATGTTCACGAGTCGTTTAGTCAGAAGAAAACGTTCACAGGTCTGCAGGAGTTGTGTTAAAGGCTGGAGGGTTCAGGACCTGACCCAGGTAAAGAACAGGATCAGACTGAAGCCTAGAATCAAGGACTGTAGAACTGTACCTGGCTCTTGCGGGTTCCGATCCTGATCACACGACTAACCTTGCCGTTTCCTTCCTGCAGACACACAAACATAACACACCAGGTTAGACACACACTCTGCCAGGTGTTTGTGAGTCTGCCATGGTTGTGGTGCAGGTCTGAGGGAGCTGCAGAGTCTCCCTGCTGGTCTCACCCTGATGTACTTGTAAGGTCCTTCCTCCATCGTTGTGTCTGCACACACTGCACCAGTGTCTGCACTGTGGAGCCTATTGTGTGTCTCTGTGTGTGTGTGTGTGTGTGTGTGTGTGCTCATGAAAAGACTGGGCTGACTGAGGTCATCCAGACAGGCCTGACTGATCCTCCCCGTTAGGACCCCCACACCTACAGATGTCTGTTCCCAGAAGATAAGAGGGACCACTCATCAGAGCCGTTATAAAGGCAGGGCTGAGGGGGGCTATCAGGTGGTCCTCGACCAGGGGTCTCCAACCTTTACAATCAAAAGAGCCACTTCTGCTACTCCACGCACTAATAAACTGTGTCTGGAGCTGCAAAACAAGCTGCAACTGTGATCATCAACTGGTGGTCCGTGGGCCTTTTCGAGGCCTTTTCAGGAACCTTTCCTGGCCAGTGGAGGTGACGTTATAAAACTAAAAGAAATATATTGTGAATTTTATTATTTATTATTGTTATTTTTACCCATCAGCACAAATGAAAAGTCTATATTCATGTAAACAAGAAAATACTGTGCATTGTTTATACCAAATTTAAAAAAACTAGTACAACTGAACTATGAAGGCATGTTTTTTTTCCAATTCTTATTAAGATGTTGTCTTTAAATTATTTAAAGGTAATTCTGATGGATTTGAGAGAAAGATCATAGAAAGTTGGATTATTTAAGTAAACAACAGGCTAGCATGAGCTAATCAACACGTTTTACTTTTTGTATTAGTAGTATTTATCACATATTTGCATACAAATTGATTTTTGTTGTGGGTATAAAAAACACACACAAACAAAACTTTTTCTGTTATGTTTGGCCACATTTTCGAAGAGCCACTGCTGAGGGACCACAGAGCCACATGTGGCCCCAGAGCCACAGGTTGCAGACCCCTGTCATAGAGAATCTGACCCCCTGTCTGCATTAATATCATTAAAACACCAGGTTTGTTACAATACAGAGTCCCTCAACTCTACCCTTTGACACAGAGTGATGAAGGCTGGCTGACAAATATCAGAGACCAGATCCTCTGATGGATTTATGGCACTGAATTATCATATTGTTTTATTGTTTTTGTACTGTTTTTATTTTTTTTCAGTTATGTTTGGTCAACCGTAGCACAAAAACAGCTGCACCAATCAACATGAAATGAGTCAGGACTGTAGATGAGTCTGACCTACACTGCACCAGCCAACGGTTTTATGATAGACCCCATATTTGAGGAGGGGGCTCCTTTCAAAGATGAGGTGTCTGACATGCAAAAACACTCATAACTCAGAAAATAACTCAGAGGTGATGGTGTTTAGACCAAAGACCAAAGAGATCCTGTGATTCAGTCTGGTCTGTAGGTGTTACAGGACAGGTGAGTCTGGTCTGTAGGTGTTACAGGACAGGTGAGTC